AGGCTGAGAAAGTTGGCTTCTGAAGACTTTCAAAACACCTAAAGTAGGAGGCCAGCTCCAATACTAAAAGTGGTAGGTTCCGTCAGACTTAAAGACAGTGCTGATGATTGAAGTCAACAGAAGCTGTGCTGGTGTGGCCCAGCAACATTACCCAGCAGGTACACACCTCTCTCCTCCCTGCAGTGGGGCCAGCCCTGTGACTGTAAGCAGTAATATACTCTCTGTTTGTGCAGCCCTTCTCCAACCAGCCACCACCCTCCTCCACCCTCTCCGTTACACTGGTTCCTGCTTTCTCTGAGCTGCCTGACCTGTCCTTGAACACCTCACCCGCTTAGACTAGTGCTTGCTGTTGCTTCTCCTGCCAGCTGTGACCTCCAGCTTCCCTGCTGAATTACAATTACAATTCACCTCCTTGAATCCTTGCTTGTAGCCAAATGATAGCATTGGTCAGTCAGTCTGGGATGAGCCTTGGAACAGAACAACATGTGTGCAAGAGTCACATTCCATGAAAGAAAACATGTAGAAAGGCTGACAAATGGCTTTGAGGCATGGTAGTCTCAGTTTTCCTTGTAGGTCCACCTGTTCCCTGCTCCAGAAGGCTGATCTCTATGAAACAGTTTCCTTGCCCACTGATTTTCAGTTGGGTTAGGACAATGCAAATGACTGGCAGGAGCTGGAGGGTGGGTAGGAGAGGATAATCTGGATACTTAATTCTCTAGCTCCCTCCTCTGTGCTACAGGGTGGCAGGTGGCTGCATTGCTCCACAGAGGACACAGCTTCTCCCTGGCAGCTTCTCCTACAGCTATATCCAAGTACAGCTTCAGTTCCACTCTTGAAAATTCTAGTTACTGCTGCTTGCCGTTTCAGCACTAAGAGAGGTATTGCTAGTCCCTGAGTGCTTCACTCGTCTCATTATTTTTCCTTTAACATCTTTATAAACAGTCTCTCAACTCCTCAATTTCCTCACTTCAATGTGGTATCTCTTCCCTGCTACAGACTAACTGAATACAGTCCCAAACCAGAATGGGTCCAATTAGCATTCAGACATAGGCAGCAAGATTCAGGAGTGTCAAGGTGAACTTAAATGATGGAAAATCTTCACCTGAATGTCCCACAGGTATCCTCAAATTTAATGTATCTAAAGCCAAATTCATCCAAATTTGTTCGTCCTCCACACTTCCCTATTTTTTTCCATGTAATCTTTTTATTTATTTAAGTATTTACTATTTATGGAATTCTTTCTATTCGGGACATTTTGCTATATATTAGGAATTCAAAGATGCCTAGAATAATGTTCTGTTTCCCTCCAGGCTTACTTATAGTGAAAGACAAAACAGTTGACCATAAAAGTATAATAACATGTGCCTTCTACCCCATGTGCCTTCTTAATGGTAAGGACTTCATGCTGGCAATGTACAGAGGAGGACCCCAGGGTGGGGCACAGGCCAAGAGCTTCTCTAAGTTAGGAATGATTGAGCGGAGCCTTAAAGGATGAGTAAGAGTGAAGCAGTAGATGGGCCAGAGGGTAGAAGAACATTCTAGGGAGACAACATTAGCAAAGAATGGAGGCCTGAAGGTATAGCATGCTCAGAAAATAAAATAAAATAAACTCTCCTGCAGAGCCTGCAACAGGATAAATAGTGGGTGGGCAAGCAGGCCAGGACTGGAATGAGAGCGAGGGAAGGAAAAGAATGAGTGATAAGATTAAAATTAGAAAGAAAGAGAGAAAAGTAGGTTTGACCACATTATACAGGATGTTAGTTGTTAAAACATGTTTACTTGCTGGTGGTACCTAATGCGGTGAGAGCTTCTGAAGTATCCTGAGCCCCTTGGCAGTTGTCCTCAGAACAGAGAGGGCTTTCTATCATCACTTTAGGGAAGTTCAGGAGGCAGAAAACAATGAAAGTAAAGACCAGCTTTTGAATTTCTAGAAGATTTTGAAATTCACATCAGAGTCTATAAGTAGTTATAAGGAAAAAGGCTTATGAATTTCTGAAATCTTGAGGCCTAAGAATTTAGTTTATGCCATAACCTCTACCTTTAGATAAAGCAGCTGGACAGCCAAGCTGCCTGGCCTGGAGCTTTTTCTTTCCCATTTCAAATGCCAGATCCATAGGTCTCAGCAGAGAGTGAGAGAGCAGGACAGAAATGTTCTAATAAGAAAGAACACATACTCTCCTGCCTGCCATGACTTCCATCATCAGAGGAATGCCCAGGCAGAAAGGAGCAGGGCAGAGGACAAGATCTTGGGGCAGGCACAGCCACAGATGTTAAGGAAGAACAAAAACTTATGAGAGGATGTTTTCGCAGTTAGAGTTCTTTCTTTCATATTAATGTCTAATTGGAAGTTCATAAATTGTTCTAAATGGGTATAAAGTCTAATAAACAATCAAGTACCCATGCCAGGAGCTATCTATAAAAGTCTTCTGAAAATGAACACTTGAAAAATTCAATGTAGATTTCAACATCTTTCTTCTTTTATTTCATATTTAATCTAATGTACTAATTTGTAGGCTATATAATTGCAAAATTATTTTGGGGTCAAATTAAGTGATGTTTCTTTTAGTTTAAAAAAATTGCAAAAGCTACTTTTGTTAAATAAAATTTTAGGAGCCTGTTGTTTTGGACTAAGCTTCTGCACTAGGAACCAATGGACCAAGCTAAAAATCAAAATGGAGTCATTCATGCCAACGTTGGAAGTTGCCATGCTGAAACTGAGCTGTTTATCTGAGCTTCTGAGCAACCAGGATTAGAGAGATAACAGCCCAATTTCCCAAACAGAACAGTTTTGGTTGGCATGATAATGAAGTTCCCTCTGACCTAATTCTTACATAAAAACTAGTAACCTGATATTAACCAATCAGTTATTTTCCCATCATTCTGTCTCTCTGACCCTAGGTTAAAAGGAAAGTAATTTCAATATGACCAATCTGCTTTTTGTTCTTTGTTTCTTCTGCCCTTTTCTGTTCATAATATCCATATCCTCTGCATGGTTCATTGAAACCCATTCTAGAGCCAGACATGGTAATACATGCCTATAATCCCAACCACCTGGGAAGCTGAGGTGGGGTGAATCATATGTCTGAAGCCAGTCTGGGTAACTTAATAAGACCCTGGTTCAATATAAAAAATAAAAAGGGTTCGGGATATAGCTCAGTGGTAGAGTGCTTGCCTAGCATGTGTGAGGCCCTAGGTTAGATCCCCAGCACTGAAAGAAACACAACACTTGTTCAGTTTTGTGAAATGAAGCATTGCCTGATCCTAGAATCCAAAATAAAGCAACTGAGATCCTTAAATAAATTGATATGATTTTGTCTTTTAGTAGAAGAACTGAAGGAGAAATTTCTATGTTTTGTTTTGTTATTGTAGGTTGTGTCTTTAATGTAACTTAAGCCAGCAAAAACTGGCTTATTTCTTTAAACAGGCTTATTATTGTGGGTCAGTTAAAGGAGCACATTAGAGGAGTTGGCCTGAGTTTTAACTTTGGTAGAGGTTCTAGGTATTTGCTAGGTCTTTTAGCAACCCAGTCAACCCAGAGGGATCTGCCAAAAACTTTAAGGTGGATGTGATTAAAATCTTCAGTAAAATATACAACAGGGTAGAGAATTTCACGAAAGAATTAGGACATATATTTTAAAAGCACAGATATAAGTTCTAGAACCCTAAAATGTTGGAACACGTGTAGGGAGGTCACAAATTATTACTATTGAAGATTAATGTAAAGAGAAGAGGGAGGTAAAGTATAGGACAGAACATGGGAAGAGGCCTTTGGAATGCAGCCTGGAAAATGGAGAGTATCCGAAGCACAGGCTTCTTGGCCTGCACCTGCCTCTGACTGCAGAGGGGAGCCACTGAGAGTGGGCCTGATGCCTGTGGGGGGTGGGGGTCTGCACAGGAGTGCCAAGTGTTTCAAACACTAGGAACAGGGAAAGAACTTTGAAAATTATACCTTGGCACAAATTGAGAATTTTTAAATAAAGGGACCAAAACCAAATTCTTTAGGCCATGCTGGGGTCCAGGAAGAAAGTCAGGAACAATTCCAAAGATAGCACTCAAAAGGAACTGATCCTCTGAATAAGCAACCAGACACAGGCAAGGAAAGCATCTGTGTTCAAAGATAATCAGCTTCTCCTTCACCTCATCTACTAAATATTGTGTCTGAACCACACACTTTTGTTCAGGGAATAGTGGTGAGCTGTACATGAATGTCCTTAAGTGCTTTTTTAAAAAAAAATTATTTATTTACTCATTTTCCAATTATCGCCAGTTGCCTGATGAGACTCCCAGGTCTTAGAGCCTGTTTTAGTTGTCTTGTTTTTCCTTTCTTCTGATTCTTTGCTCCTTTTACATGTTGTTATTTCTCTTGGGTCTGTTCACAGGGACTTAGTCTACATGGATGCCCCAGGAAGTCTGCTGCTGTTTTGTGGCAGGCAGGTTTCAGGAGAGAAATTCTCCACCCCACTGGCTTTCTCTTGCTCTCTCAAAGTCACCAAGATCTCACCCTTCTTCAACTCCTAAGGACCCAAAGACTCTGGGCGCATTCCCAACATCTGGTGTTGTCTTCCCTCAAAAGACAAGGATTCCCTTGTCCCAAGAGGTACAGAGCATGGTTGCTTGTGGTTCCTTGCTCTGGACTCTCCTACTGTTGTCTCTAAGCTCTTGTTTGGAACACAGGGAAGGGAGCCCAGCTACAACTCCTACAAGTTGGTTTTAAAGTGATTAAAAAAAACCTGTTTTCCACACTTAACACATCTGACCTCTCATTTGTGAGGGTTTCCACACACCAATCGATTCTCTGAACACCAACTGGATGTCCTACAGTCCAATTCTGACACCATCTGAAGTTAGCACAGACCCCACAGGTTAAAGACTCAATCCCCCCAAATTATCCCCCATCTTAGAGACCAATTGCCAAATCCAGGTCATCATATATGGTCATGAACAAGCTATGCCATTGATGTAAACCAAACATGTTTGTGTCTTGCCACAAATGTCAGAATTTATTGAATAATAATCAATTCACACACTACATCACTTTCAGTGGTGGCAGTTCATTGAATAGGAACAAGTCAACTGATAGTCAAAAGCTAGGCAATCACACATTCTTTTATTCCAATTTTAACTATTAACACATATTAAGTGGTTCCAGGAGATTTAACTGAGAGCAAAAACAGAGAGCAGATAGAATGCAAAGAGTCAATTGTAGGTAGTCATATAAGAACAGAAATGAGCCAAATAACTTGTTTAGGGTAGAGGGCTATCAAAGCTTGGAACTTGTTTTAGGCCAGGGTCCAGAGGGACTTCAGTTTCAGTGTCAGCTTGAAATGTCAGCTTGAAGTGGGTCATCATTGGCAGGAGAAACTGTGCTTTGGCTGAACCCTGGGGGACAGAACCAGAAGTTCATTACTTTTGGAGATTTTCTAGGGAAAGGCTTGTACAAGTGATCAGGTGGCAGGGTCAGTGTGAGTCCAGTCTTGGGGCGCTCCTCCTTTAGTGGGTCTCAGGTGAGGGTGTTGTTTCATTTAGTAGTCTGATACATTGGTAAACTCATGGGCCTGGCTCTTCTGCTATTGAGTCAATATGCCCATGCATCCATGTGCTTCTGATTAATTCAGTAAGTTCACAGGTGGTCATTTTGATTTGCATGATTAATTTATTTATCAGTCATGCCTTATATTTGTGGTAGTAGATGTAGTTGTTTTCTTGCACAGATAAGGTATAGAGTCTTTCTACCTCAGCATTTGTACTCAAAACGGAATATCTCATATGTGGCAAACCACTGCCTTATAAAATGGAATAACTCACAGTTAGGCACAGCCTGAAAACTACTGTTCTATACACCATGGAGTAACTCAAAGCCGGGCACAGCCTGCCCTCCACACCTAAACTTCTGATCAACTGGCTATCATTTGAGGGTCCTCACAACCCCCTTTTCAGATTTCATAATTTGCTAACATGAAATTTGCTTCCCTCCCCAGAAGTCATACCCTTTTTTCTGTCCACCAGCTCCATCATGAAGCTATCCAGGAACCCCTGCCACCAGAATTTCATTAGCATACAAAAGACATTCTCACCACTCAGGAGACTCCTGTTAGGAAGCTAGTCAAAAATCAAATATTAGAAACAAAAGATGCTCCTAGCATCCCTATCATTCAGAAAACTGAACATTTTAGGAATCATGTATCAGGAACCAAGGGTGCAGATCAAATATATATTTCTCATTATGTCATAGTAATGAACCATCATCATTTTTCCTGTTTACAGCAAACTCATTTTAAACCACAGATCCATTATGTTGATGGCTCAGTCTAACTGTGTACTCCAAAGGGCAAACTGAACAATTCGTCATTGGGTTTTAACTACTATGGGTTTGTTGGTTTGCTTTTTAACTTCATTGGGCTTTTACTGCTGATGAACTTTGCAAAGTTGATATGCACAAATGGAAGACTTGCAAAGAAAATGTACTCAAAATATGATTATGAAATGAACTATTGTCTTGAAGGTTCTATTGGGTTCTGTGAGGCTACCTCCCTGTGTGTCAAGGGATAACACAATTCTTTGACAGCTTTTCTCTGTTGGAACAAAGGTGAAGTATTTCTTACACTGTGTCATGACATGATAAGGCCTTGGCATCAATGTGATTATGAGCAGACACATATGGGGCAGGATTAGGTCACATTGACTATAGGAACCAAAAAAAATTTATGTGAAATTTTAAGATTATTTAAATGAAAGAAAGCATAAAATTAAGACATTATGGAATTTTCCCATCTCAGGGTTCCAAGTCTGAGGAACATGCAGTAAAGATGGTCCCTAAATAGTCTATGTCAACCTTGAGACCCAAAGCTTAGACTCAAAAGTCTCATTAATGTTCAGATAACATTCAGGAAATAGTTTGTTTTCTTTAAAAGGAATATTAACTTACTTTGTATCCATGTGACATTCTACAAGATCCAGTTTTGTTTGTTTGTTTTGATTTGTTTTGTTGATGTTTACAGCTGAATTCATGGCAATTGGTTTTTCATAGACATTTTTCCTGGAAAAGAAATTAAATTGACTGATATGCTAACATCTATCTTCTCACTACCAACTGATGTTTGAAACCTTGGGAAATCTCACTTTAAAGACAAAGGGCAGGAGTGAGCACTGATTTATTTGTGACTTGTAGAGTATTATTTACTTTTACTTCCTTATTAGTATGCATATATTGCTAATGTCCTTAGTCCTGTTGTACTTACTATGTGTTGTATGCTTCTATCCAGTGAGAAGCAGCTTAATATTTTTTTTGCAAATCTACAATCTATAATAACTTTAGTTAATTTATATTTAATGATATTCACATTATATGCTTATCTATATTTTAATTAAAATTTTATTGTTGCATTATAATTATACATTGGCCAAATTATGTTATGTGCCTACAAATGTGACTTTTTATTGATCCCACCTGTTTTATATTTTTCCCTCTTTTTAAATTTGCAAAATATTTTATGTTATTGTAGATTCTTATTTTACTAACACTTAGCAGTTTTTCTGGAGATTATGACATGCATTCTTGATTTGTTACTATTTAGTATAGATTGATACTTTTCCCACTTTTGTATTACTATTGTCATGTATTTTGGTCTTATATGTTTTAAAACTGCACAAACATCATTACTATTGTTGCATATAGTTCATATTCAGTTAGATTTTCTTGAATATTTATTCCCTGCCCTGCCACCACTTGTCTGCTTTTCTGTATGGGATCATTTTTCTTATACCCAAACAATTTCATTTAGTTTTTGTTTCAGCGTGAATCTTCTGTTGAATTCTCTTAGCTTTTATTTGTTGGGAAATAGCTTTGCTTTGTCTCTGATTTGAAGAATATTTTCACTGGGTGTAGGATTCCAGGTTGGCACACAGGAATATTTCTGAAACCATTTTCTACCACAGTAAAGAGCAGGAATTCAAAAATTAACTTTTTTTTTTAAATCATTAACTTTTTCCAAAGCCAGCTCAAGAAATTAAGCAATCTTTAATATTCACTACTTTGTACTCAAATTAATTTATAAAAATTAATGTTTATTAAGTACTAAGTATAATTCATCCTTTTTAGCATTGTTTTTCTCCTTAGTTACTTACATGAAAATAATAAAATTAATGGCTTTTAAATAGTCTATTGTAGACTAGAATTTTTAGTAATTTGGACCATTTTTCTAAAATGTGCAACAATCAATTATTATGGATGAAGTATCCCAGGCATCTCAAGTTTTATTTTTTCATTCTTGTCTTAGCATCACAGAGTGTTCATGCTGAGAAAACAAAGGAATTGTGCTAATGGACCCACCACAAATTCATGCTAACTTCAGTTTGCTCTTGACTTCTGCCAATCACCACCACCTCCTGTCACCTCCTAGGGATGCATAAGGAGCTTCCCCACAATAGCTGTTTCATTCTGCTTGTAATTCTTCATATCCCTGACATTCCCTACTTTCAAGACAAACTCACCTCTTCACTGTTCTTGTGAAATTGTCTCATTTTCATTCAATGAATGTCTCTTGCCTTTTCATGTAGGCAAGGACCACATTTTCCAGGTTCACAGCTCTATTTCCAGTGATATCTGGTGAATGAACAAATGGGGTCTGCTCTATCATGTATTTCACTTTTCACTTCAAAATACCTGTCTTCACATGCCCCACTTTCACATTCATTATTCCTATCATGGAACAATGGTATGGTTTAGATTTGGAATGTCTTCCCAAAGGCTCATGTGTTGAAAGCTTGGTCCCCAATGCAACAATGTTAAGAGGTAAGGCCCTTAGGCAATGACTGAATCATGAGGGCTCTGGCCTCATTAGTGAATTAATCCAGTGATAGATTGGTAATTTGATAGCATTATTGGGAGGTAGTAGATTCTGTAGGAGATAGGGCCTAATTGGAGGAACTAAGTCACTGGAGGTCTAGTCCCTGATCTCTTCATTCCTCTCACTCTCTTTCTCTTTCTCTCTCCTGCTGCTTCCTGGCTGCCACGAAGTGAGGAGCTTTCCTCCAACCACACCTTTCTTCTGATATTCTGCCTCACCTCAGCTCCAAAGCATTGGAGCTGTTAAGCCATGGACTGAAAGTTCTGAAACCAGGAACCAAAGTAAATCTTTCCTCCCTAAGTTGTTTTTCTTGGATATTTTATCCCAGCAATATAAAGCTAACTAACATAGAAAAGATGTTTCTTTTCTTTCTATGGCTCATCGCTTTACCAGTGTGTCCTATCCTAATATCCTTGTATCTTCCTCCCCCAATGAGACCTTCTTTCTCTAACATCTTCACTGTCTTTTTCTACCAGTTTTTCTTAGTCAGTCCTCAAAATATGAACAGTTTTTGCACTATTTGAAAAAGCCTTGCTTTGTCCCTCTGCCTCTCAAACAACATATTTTTTTCCTTTCACACTCAGAATTATACTACTGCCTCCAATGACTCATGGCCCAGGCACTCCTTCATCTTCTGCAATCTGATAATTACCCTACTCTGGTCTCTTAAAGGTCATCAGTAACTTTCTGATGCCAAAATCAATTATCTCTTCTCAGTCTTCATTTTCCTTGATCACTCTGAAAATTGCAACTATTATATACTATTGCAAAGACTGCTGGTGAGCCACCAAATATCCCATTCCCCCTTTCTTCCTTACCAACACAATCCCAGTTTTGTTCCAGGTGGTAATATGTCCAATCGAGACAACCCTTCCCAGCCTCTCATGAAGTAGAGATAGTCTTATGGAATATAAGCTTACATGTCTGTAGCTATTTGGTTTATGCCAGAGGCTGTAACAGATAAGTTTTAATCTCATCAGCCTACATAATAGTAATTTTTCTCACATTTATCCAAAATATGTATTCCTGGTGTGCAGCAAAGATTCTACATGGTCATTCTGAGATCCAATTTTCTTCTATATTTTTAGTTCATCATATTCTGGGACCTCAGATCTTCTAGATACAGCTACCAGCAGGGGAAAGGGCATGGAGGATAGCACATCGGAGGTTGGTGCTCAGCTAGTTGATAACACATAATTGCAAGGGTAGTTTGTGTGACTGTCTAAGAGGAGGAAATGGATTTGGTGGGCAACCAGCCAGTCTCTGCCACATGGCTAAGCTGTTCAGTTAACGAACTCTGGCCCAGCCACATGAGCAGGCATGACTAGAACAAAACATACCCCCAGCTGGTTGTGTTCCAGAACAAAAATCCTGCTCCATCAATCCCTTAACCCAAGGATTGCTGCTTTTTCTCACTTTCTACCATAAGAAGAATGTCATTGTTTTTTGTTTGTTTGTTTGTTTTTGGTTTTTGTGTTTTTATGGTGCTGGGGATCAAACCCAGGGCCTTGTGCATGTGAGGCAAGCACTCTACCCACTGAGCTAAATCACCAGCCCAAGAATATCATTCTTAACATTTTTCTCTTCTTCCTATTGCTGTAACCCATGAGTCAATTTTCACTCTGACATGACCTGAATCATTCCCAATCACAATCACTGCTGAAACTTACAGCTGTGAAGTTTGACAAGCACTGGAATAAAAGAAGAGATAAGTTATATTTTCAAATCCCTAAAGAGAGGAAAAATTTTAGTAATTTTGATTCTGTCCATCTTTTTGTCAAAAACAACAAAAGTACAGATTAAATTTATAAGACACACAGAAATCACATGTGTCACTGCCCAAAACAAAAACTGATTTAATTCACTCTGTAGAGGACAAATCAGTCCTCCCTAGAATTCCCCAACCATGCTTATAGGCTTACCACTGTTCACTTGATCCATTAGTTAAAAGTGTATACCTACAGATTATCCCTCATCCAGATTAGGCTATTCTAACAGAGTAGAATATTTAAATAATTTTAAATACAGATAAATGTCTAACAGGGAGACATTTATCTGTATTTAAAATCAAACTGATCACAGAAATATTTGTACCAACTAATTCCCCCCTCCTCCGCTCCCCAGTCTTATTAATAGTTTTGATAGTATTCATTCTTTAAGTTTGGAATTTTCCAACTCTTCCAATTGTTTGTTCTCAAAGCTTTCCTGCTCTAAAAAAGTGTGTTATTTTGAATAATTCATTTTCATATAAATTAGTATGAACCAATGTCACAGTACAGAAAAATAATTATTTATATTTCCTCTAGATGTATATAAAATAATGTATATAAAATAATTTTATATAAATATGGCACACAATTTGAATTTATTTAACATAGACTCTATCTGGCAGTCAAACAGAAGAGTATCTTTGCTTTTTAGAGTAATTTGTATGAATGTATGTATGTATGTATGTATTTGCAGATACATATGTCTGTCTGTCTGTCTGTGTATTTTTGGAATGCTGTGCCCTAGGCATTGGCTTTATTTCCCTGAGATCACCAGAAAGGTGCTTAGAGAGGTTCCTTCAAACCTGAAGCAGAGATGGTGGAACTTAAGATTCTGCTGCATCTGGGTCTCAGCTGAGATGTCACCAACACTGACTCCTTACTGGACCCTGTGATATGCCAGCCAGATCCCAATCAGGAATAAAAACTTACTCCCCAGGCTGCAGGCAGAATCCTTCCACTGTCAGCCCCTCCAGTTAGTGCCTTGCCTAAGAGAATGACTAATGCCAGAGGCCTGTGACCTCCCCTGGGACAGCCAACCCCCAATATCCATCCTATCCTAGGCATAAGATCCCAGTCCCTTCACTCTTGACTCATGACAATTCTGAAGGGCCCTGTCAGCATCTGAGCTTTCAGTTGGGTTAGTTAATGTCTTTTGTTGGTTGTCACCTGCTCTTTTTTTTTTCTCTCTCTCTCTCTTTTTATGGTACTGGGTCAGGGCCCAGGGACTCAATCATGGTAGGCAAGCTCTCTACCACTGAGCTACATGCTCCCAGCCCAAAGCCTTTCATTGGAACTATCACAGCCCAACTTCTCTCTCAACTTTGCTTCTTTCTGTTCCTTCTCAAAATTCCATTCTGATCCTGAGGGTTTAAGCTATAGCCAGGTTAAAAACAGAAAGTACATTCTGTCCAAGTCCTAAACATATAGAGATCCTGATCCTGATTTAAACATGTGTCAGCAGAAGACATGGCCACTCTCCAGAATCTATGGAGGACTTAATCTCTTGGTTTGGCTGCAAAAGATATAAAAATGGCAATTCTTGCCAGACAAAAATTTGAAGGGGGGACCCCCAAAAGAAGAAATCATAAGAGAGAAAATGAAAACTTTATGAAACAACCATAAAATTTTAGCAGATGCCAAAATGACATTTGTGCAGACTTAACCAAAGATACTATGTGACCCCAGAGGACCAGTACACAGCCTCACCCTGGTGGTAGCTCTGCCTCCCAACTTCTGAGCAGATAAAGCAAATCACAGGCTGCCTCTTTCTGTCTAACCCTCTCATTGTTTGCACTCTTCTTCAAAGTAAAGACTTAAGGAATCAAAAAGACCCAGATGCCATTCTAGTCTCATTACATACTAGTGATGTGAATTCGATCAGTTTGTTAATCTGTCTGTATTTTGTTTCCCTTATTCAAAAACTGAGAGATGAAGAAAATATCTGCAGCATAGTTGGAAGCATTAGCCACATTTATAGAGCCGTGCAGAGAATGTCCTAGCACTGTGGCTGACATTCTAGTCCAGTGGTCCTCACTTTAGCCGTGCAGAGGAATTAACTGAAGAACTTTGAAAAATAATGAAGCCTGAAGTAGAGATGTGTTTATAGCTCTCCAGGTGATTCTAAATGTTCTCAAGTTGATAAGTATTGCCATCTACAGATTATTTTATTTAACTCACACAACTATGCTATGAGTTCAGTACAGTTTTCTCCCACTTCCCATTGTTACAGGCGAGGAAACAGGTTTGAAAGATTAGAAGATCACTCAACAATAGCAAAGGGCAAAGTTGGGATTGAATTCACAAAGGATAACTCCCAAGACCTTATACACCTCCCAACACTGCTGTGCTTCCACCCCATCTGTGATTATGAAGAATCTAACATCTTCTCTAGCATGCAGAAGGTGCTTCATACTTGGGAACTAATTTTGTTCTTTGCTTTTAACTTCCTGATCCTGGGGATATCAGTGATATCCCCAGATATCACTGGGAATTCAGTAGGAATGCAGGGTAAGATTTAGAAGCATAGGCAGATTTCGCAAAATAAAACAAAAGAAAAACACTCTTTTTTTTTATTCTTTCCCTCTTCCCAAACCCTGGCCATGAGCATAACTTGTTTTATGTTTAAAATATTTTTGTTTGTGTTTGTTTTGAGATGTTGCCCAGGCTAGTCTTGAATTCCTAGTCTCAAGAGATCCTCTGCCTCAGTTCCAAGTTATGGGATTACAGGCATCCACCATTGCACCCAGCTTTAAAATCTTTTAAAGTAATTATTGCAGATACTATATAAAAATGTCAGGAATCCAAGGTGAAAATTTTCTACCATCCTTTCTCCACTTTAAGTCAGTGTTTTCTTTTACCTATGTCAATTTCTAGACCTAGTCCATGAGCCTATGAGGATTTTGTTGTTGATGTTGTTGTTTACACATGTAATTATATATTTACAATAGTCTGTTAACATGATACATATCTTTCTAGATTTGTTTTATAACCCAAATAAGCACCCTGGTATTGCTCTGTAGGTAATGGAGGCAATTTTACTATTACTAATTTTACTAATCTGCTTGCATCAGATTCTCACGTCTTTTGAAATATTTTCATTAAAAGTTTTTCTCTTAGGGGGAAAAAAAGCATAGCCTCATTATCCTGAAAGCTGATAGTAAAATTTATAAGCCTGTAAAGGGCATATGACATGACATTTGTCTTTCCTTACTTGCTATATACTCCTAAGTATCTGCTCTCTTCATCCATGTGCCTAGCACAAGTAAGAACTCAAAAAATATTTGATGCATGGACAAATGATGCTATCCTTAGCTCTACAGTGAAGTTATAAAATAAGATTTCTTAGGAGCAGGGACAGAAGACTCCAAAGTCTGAAAACAGAGTAGGGTGGACCACAGCAAAGCAGGCAGGAAAGGCAGCCGGAAACCTCATGGTAAAGGCCAGCTAAATTGGCCAGGAGGAAACACGTGGTTTCCTGAATTAAACCCGTTCAAACCTTCAACCTTTGAAGAATGACATATGTAAACGATGTCAGGAACCCACAACTTGCCCAACAGTCACATTTTGGGATTGTTTTTAAAAAAGTTGTTTATATCCTTGGGCTCCTCTCTCCCTATGCACTGTACCTGGGAAGGATATGGAAATGGAAGCAGCTGTAGTAAAAACAACTGCAAATAATTGAAGTAGGTATGCTTCAGGAGACCACCCATGTAATGTCCTTAGGGGAAGGATTTCTACATTAGATCCATTGGATCTTCTCTGGATATACCAGAGGGACTTCAGGAAACTGTGAACAGCTGACATCCATGTAAATTGTGTGTGTATGTGTCTGTGTGTGTGTGTCTGTGTGTGTGTGTGTGTGTGTGTGTGTATGTTTCTTAATTCAGCATAGTTGGAGAGAAGACCTCAGCTTGCATCAGATTCTCATGTCTTTTGATGAAAAGGCCTCCTCCTCCTTCTACTTCTCAACTAAAGAGAGGGTGAAGTCAAGGGAGCTAACCCTATGCAGAATCTTCTGTAAAGTCAAGGCTGTAAAAGTCTTGGCAGCCAGCATATGAAAGGGTCCATAAATGTTATTACTATTACTTCTCTATGCCAAGCGCTTCATTTTTAAAATTTTTTTCAGTCTCACAACAATGCAACAAGACACAGAAGTCCCATATTATATGTATGAAAAAAACTAAAACTCAGAGGCATTGAGTCACTAACCTAAGGTCACACAACTAGTGGTAGAGTTCAGAACTATCTAATTCCAAAGCTTGGATTCTTCCTCTCTAAGCTATGGCCTGAATTACTGGCTAAGCTTTCAGTCTAGAGGCAGTTTCTCTGCAGCAGTGAGGTTCACATATCAGAAGCCCCAGGGCCCTGCCCTCTCCCTGACTCTGTCCATCAGAACAGGCAAGGAGCCCAAAAATGAGACTCTTAGGGCCAAGGAATAATCTGCTTGCTTATATAATATGGCCCCAATCATCCTACTCAAATTCTACACTCAAAGCCAATTTCTGTTTCAGGATATTGAAAGTTAATTAAATAAAGAAATCATAGCTAAATAATCCCTTGTCTTTTTGGTGCAGCCAAGTCCAGAAGGGAAGAAATGTGTCCTAGTAGTCACAAATGACAAAAGCCAGAAAGCTTTAAACTAAGTCTACTATCTTCTGGTTTCCAAATCCATGCTAAAACCTTCAGTTAACTATTGGCTACTGAAACACCCTTCCATCACATGAGAATCGTGGCATCTGCACACACTGAGCACTTCCTATGAGGCTGTGCTTTACTTCTATTATCTCTATCTTTTAAAAGAGTCAAGCAAGCTTGATGGATGACACTGCTTGTGAGGTTAAGCAAGTCCCTCAGGTTCACACAGACAATAAGTAGCAGAATCAGGATTTGAACCTAGGCCTATCTGATGACAGTGTGAATCCTGTTAAGCCACATCCTCCCACCCTGTGGACACAGCTACTGTGATTTATGGTACCTAAGACCAATATCATTTCTTTCTTTTCCCTGTGCAGAAAAAAAAAAAAAAAAAACTTGCTCTGAAATTTGGCTAGTCCCTTGGGAGGAGGGCCATGGAAGCATGACAGATGAACTCTGTAATATAAATGGAAGGTGGTTCCAGGTTAAGCTCTGCCACTTACTGCCGCTGTCACCTTGGGCAGATCAGTTAAACTTCCAAGGCCAGGGTTTCTCACCTATCAGGTGCAGATCCTTGTAGTGCTCCACATCCCAGAGATCTAGAAGCGAATAGGAACCAAGGTACAGCAAATGTTAATTACCTTTGACCCTCCTTAAGACACTGACTGATCTGAGAAAACTAGGTAGTAGCCTTTTCTCAGCTTCAAGTGAGCCTTCCACTTCAGCCTCCTGATTAGCCAGCTGGTTTTTCTGAGTTCCTGGCCAACACTGGAGCTCTACCAACGCTACCGCCTTGCGCCCTGCTTACATTTCCCCTCCCTTTCAGTAGTTCTTTTGCCTGACCTGGAGGACTAGTCTTGACTGCTCCGACTCTGGCTACTTTCCTTCTGATTTCTGGGTACCAAGATGTGTTTCTCCTCAGTACCCCACGCATCAGGGCCGAGCATTTAGCTCCGCTGTTCCAAGCTCTGGAATAGCCGCGAGTGCTCACCGAGAGGCGCGTCCCGCCCTGGAAAAAGGGTGTGACCGGAGAGTTTAGATAGGAGGCGCCTACTGTGGGGGAACACCCTGCCGCCCGCAGAGCTTCCTTTACAGTTCAGCCTCTTCACCAGAGCTGCGCGGGGAATCGCCGGGGGCTTCTCGGCACCTGGGCACCGGGGCTCACGCCCTCCCACCGCCTCCACTCGAGCCCGCCCACCATGAAGTCTCCCTTCTATCCATGTCAGAACACCACCTCGGTGGAGAAAGGCAACTCAGCGACGATGGGCGGGGTACTGTTTAGTGCGGGCCTCCTGGGCAACCTGCTGGCCCTGGGGCTGCTGGCGCGCTCAGGGCTAGGGTCTTGCCGACCGCGCCCGCCGCGCCCGCCGCCCTCGGTATTCTACGTGCTGGTGTGCGGCCTGACCATCACCGACTTGCTGGGCAAGTGCCTGATAAGCCCGGTGGTTCTGGCTGCCTATGCGCAAAATCGGAGCCTGCGAGGGCTAATGCCTGCGTCCGGTGACGAGTCACTGTGCCAAACCTTCGCTTTCTTCATGTCTTTCTTTGGGCTCGCATCGACATTACAGCTCCTGGCCATGGCTCTGGAGTGCTGGCTTTCCCTGGGGCACCCCTTCTTCTACCAAAGGCACATCACCCTACGCCGGGGCGTACTCGTGGCTCCGGTGGTGGGTGCATTCTGCCTGGCTTTCTGCGCACTGCCCTTGATGGGTTTCGGGAAGTTCATTCAGTACTGCCCAGGCACCTGGTGCTTCATCCGGATGGTCCGCGATGACTCGATCTGGGTGGTGGTCTACTCTGTTCTCTACTCCACGCTCATGGCGCTGGTGGTTCTTGCCATCGTTCTGTGCAACCTTGGGGCGATGCGCAACCTTTACACTATGCACCAGCGACTGAGACGACACACGCGCTGTGGACTCAGGGACATCGCGGAGCCAGGCGCGGGAAAGAAGGTGGCATCCTCACATCCCTTGGAGGAGCTGGATCACCTCCTGCTGCTGGCCCTCATGACAGTGCTCTTCACTATGTGCTCTGTGCCTTTAATTGTGAGTAGCTGGGAGCAAGGTTGTGGGGAACTGGGGCGTGTTGGGCTGCTGGTGCGGGGCTGGAAGGGTGGAACCCGGTGAACCCCGTGCCCGCACAAGAGGAGCTGCGTCCTGGGCCAGGAGGGTTTGTAACTGTGCTCCTCAAGTCGGATTCCCTCCACAGCCCTAAGATAAAGTCCAATTCGCTGAACGAGAAGAGGGAAGGTCAGGAAAAGGGAAAGAAGACATGACCCAGCAAAATCCTTTCCATTGTGACAGGACTCCCTCCTGTCTGCTTCCCTCTGGGGAGCTCTCAGGGACAAAAATCCCTCAAACCTTGGAGAAGTTTGGTCTTTCCGTGACAATACAGTTCCTCTGCTTTTCCTGAAGGCTAGGTGAAGTTTTATTTCTTTAGATGTGCTCATGGTTTTAATGGTGTAAGAAATGGACGAATGGCGTCTGAGGGTTCTTTTCTGGGTGTTGGGGTGGAAAGGAACTAAGGGACAGTTTAATTCTTCCCCATTGGCTTGCAGATTTAGTTTGAGTGAACTTGGATGCTCTGTTGCAACAACTGTTTCTGGTGCCACCGCGGGAGGAGGTGTGGTAGAGGCTAAGAGGCTGTTTGTATGTGGTTGCAGCTGGTGGTGTCGTTTTGACAACCTGCCTTGACAGGTTCTGTTTCTATTCTGGCACGTGAGTTGTCATGAAGGCCATTATCTTGGGTTTTAAGTTACTGAGGGTTTGAATTACCTCCCGTTTTTAGGGTATTCATTCCTGGGGGCCCAGACACCTAGAAGTGGCTGGCATAGGAGAAGACTTTTTCAGTGTAGCTCCTCCCCCTCTCTCCCACCTCCAATGTACCTGTTTAGCAAAAACTACATTTGAATAAATTACAATACATAGTTCAAAGTCTTTGGAATCAGAGACTTATGGGACTAGGAAAGTTAAATTTCTTACCAGGATATAGCAATTCTGGATGTTAGTTTCAATGGGGAATCAAAGGGAGATATAAAGAGATTTTCCTTTAAATGAAGGTCTTAATGTGTGGAGGATGCATAACCTGTAGCACTATCATGCAGGATTAGGATCAGAACTCCATCAATCAGTCAATGTCTACATAAAAAGGCAGAGGTAGACGTAGTAGATAGATACAGCAATGGTTCTCAAACTTTAGAATGCTCAGAATCATCAGTAGGCTGTAAAAAGAAAGATTACTGGGTCCCACACCCCCAGGATTCCTTTAGGATGTTTTTAGGTTTTTAAAAAATGTTTATTTTATTTTGTTTTTCTTCCAAAGCAAGGGGTTAACCCAAACCTCACACATGCTAGACATGTGCTTTACCACTGAACCACATCCTTAGCCCTAATTTTTATTCTTAACAAGTTTCCAGGTGAAGCTGAAACTGCTGATTCAGGGATGGCATTGGTGGAACCACATTCTAAACAGAAGTTGGCAAACAAAAGCCCACGGGCCAAATCTGCCTGCCCGCTATTTTATGTATAGCCCTGAAGTTAATAATAGTTCTTACCAATGAATATTTGCAACCAACCAAGACCTTTAAGTCCCAACTAAGCCAAATACTATTCCATTAAAAAGTTTTATTCTTCTCCATAGTAAATTTGTATTTAAAAAATTATTATTGCATCCTGAATGTCATCAATAAAAATTGTGGAAATGTATTTTCTCTTTCTCTCTCATTATCTTGGTACTACCACATGGTAATGATTTTGCCTCTTGGTCTTTAAGGCCTGAAATATTTATTGGTTGGTCCTTTATAGAAAATGTTTGCAGACCACCTTAGTTGAAATCTCACTTAACCTAGGCTCTGATAAAGCAGACATTAGCCAAACCATGAAATTTTTGACCTGAGTTTGAATGTTATAGTAAAAATAACACAGAAAGCAACATAATACAGTGGTAAGAGCATTGCATTTGGACATGTCTCTAAGGAGATTTGAATAACTCATATAAGTTTAGTGAGAAGCAAAAAAATAATGGACTTGAAGATGATTTTTCTAAAAAATTTTTAAAGTTCTAAATATGTGTAATATTGATAGAATTCTTCACAAGAATCATCGTTTTCTAGAAAGGACAAGGGTTTTGGTGTAGGACATGGATTTGAATCAGGCTTCATTACTTACTGGCAAGGATTGGCACTTATTTATCCTCTAATGTCAGCTTTCTCATCTGTAAAATAAGAATAATCATACTGTTTTCTGTAAGATAGATATGAAGATTTGAAATTACACACACACACACATATGCACAGACACACACAGGTGGAACATCCCTAATCCCAAAATCCACATGCTCCAAATCTGAAACTTCTGACAATCAACATGATATCACAAATGGAAAATTCCACACCTAACCTCATGTGACAGTTTGTTGTCAAAACTCTGGCACACTCAAAATTTGTATAAAATTACCTTCAAACTAAGTGTACAAGATCCATATGAAACAAATGAAAATCTCATTTAGACTTCTATCACCAAGATATTTCATTATCTATATACAAATACTACAAAATCCAAATAAATAAATAAATAAATCTTAAATCTGAAACAATTTTGGTCTCAAGCATTTTAAATAAGGGATATATAGCATGTACAGTATGAGTGTGTGTGTATGTGTGTGTGTGTGTGTGTGTGTGTCCCCAAACCAGTGCCTTTGTTCAATAATTAACATTACTCTTATTACTAATTATAGCTTACATTTCTTATTATTGCTTCCTGGATATAGCAAATTAATCAAAAGATATAATCTGCTTGGGAAATAGTGTTATAGGCTAAGGTTATGGTTCTCAAATTCTTTATGATTTCAGTACCCCTTTATACTCTTAAAAAATCATAGAAACCCAGAGGGTTTTTATTTATGTTGATAATATCTATCAGTATTTATCATATAAGATATTAAAACTAAGAATTTTTAAAAATACTATTGCAAAGAAGATATCAAAGTCTACTTCTCATGTTTTAATACTGGTTCAAGGAAAGCATTGAGATTTCAAAATGACTTAGTGAATGATATAAAGTTATAGCGATTATAGCAAGTAAAACAAAAAAGCGTATTAAAAGTAAGAAGTACTAGAAACAATCTCTGAAAATACACAAGTGTACTCTCAATCTAGAAAGGTCCAAAAAACCCAAAAATACACAAGCACAGATTAATGCCATTAGCCACAGAAGTGGTGATGTCATCACATGTTATACAACCTCCATAAAATTCACTGCACACCTTCTACAGAATGAGAATGAGAAATATAAATAACAGTTTTATGAAAAGTTTTGACTTCTTTGCCACACTCAATGGGTTGAGACCTCACACTTGAAAACCACTCATCCAAGGAATGGAACTAGCAACTAGAAAAATAAGCCTATATCCAACTTACTCGTAACATAATTATTGTATTTCATCAGGCCAGTGAAAATTTTTTGGTTTCCAGTGCTGGGGATTAACCCAGGGCCACAAGTATGCTCTGCAAGTACTTTACCACTGAGCTACACTCTCACCCCAATCTTGAGTATGATTTTTAACATTCACTTCACAATATTGCTGGATTAGAGTAAAATGAGTAGATTGAATTTTCAAATTTGCAATTTTGTACAGCAGGAAATATACAGAATATGGAATGAGATTTAGAGGCAGTTTGTAGCACATTCTCTAATGTGTATAATATACTTTCACCAGATTCTTTTTATCTTAGAAAACCACAATATATTGGAGGTTGGAGGGGGAGCAGAGATGGATGAGAGGGGGTGTGTACGTAGAAATGAGTTATAACTCTTGAGCAGTTTAAAAGCTGGATAACGATAAATACGAGCTTGTGTGATTATTTCTTCCAGAATCCATGGAACCGGAGAAGTGGTAGAGGACATCCTGCATGCATTGAGACAGATCTTGTGTGTATGCCATTTTGGTGGCAGAAAGAATAAATGAGATGCTCCTTTCAAAGGGGGGATTAGAAACATATAAGGGATGGGAGACAAAAGAAGGGCCCAGAGGAAAGGAGTTAAAGTAGATTAAAGGGCTAGAGAGGAAGGCACATTAGGGTGTTATGATGATGAACTGGGTAGAAGAGGTCATCAGATGGAGACCTCCCCAGCAGACATGGCCTGCCAAGTCTCCTCCTGGTTGGCAATGACAACATTTTCTCAATGACTCCTATCTCCATCAGAAGGTAGTCTTCTCATGCTGTCTTTATATAATTGAACCACTTTTAAAATGCCAGGTGTAGAACAACATTCTTCTAATACAAATCTAGTGACTTGAAAACACAGATAACCCAGGAGGGGTGTAGCTTAGTAGTAGAGCACTGGCCTAGCATGTGTGCGGTCATAGGTTCAGTCCCCAGCAATACACACACACTCTCTCCTTCCCCCCTTTCCTCCCTCCCTCCCCCTTCCTCCCCCCTTTCCTTCCTCCCTCCCTCCCTTCTCTCTTTCTCTCCCTCTGATACATTAATAGAACTGACATGGCAAACACTGCATAGAAATAAAATGATTTGTTGTAATTATAAGAGTATCATTCAGTTACCCAGATCCCACTAATCAAGCATTCTTGCATTATTGGAATTACGTTGTGCTGTACTCCACTTTGAAGAGAATGGGGCAAATGTAAAAACAAACTCATGTCAACTGCTTTTTAAAATCAACTTAGTCATAGAGTTTATTATCATCCACATATTCATTCAGCACACATCTGGTATATAGAAATCCAAGACACTCTGTAGTTCATTGTGGAGATATAAAATGAGAAAAATGTCACATGCAACTACATAAGTCCTAAATTGATGATTGGGACCATAGGGAAGTTTGGCAGAGGACAGGAGACACTCCAAACTGAAAAAAATAATATTAGCTAATTATTGAGTCTTATATACTAGATCCTGAGCTCAAGGTTTTCCTCATACCATCTCACTTCAGACTTCACAAAAATCGCTCAGAAGGTAGGTACAATAATTTCAACTGTAAATATGAGGAAACAGTAATTTCCCTGAAGTCACACATCAGGGGATTCTAATCCAGACAGACCCTAAAGTGGAGTGGGCTTAGCTACCACCTCAGATAATTTTGTAAAGGGTATAATATTTGGGGTAGACCTTGAAGGAAGGTATGATCTGAGTATATAATCAGTTTCCATATCTGTAATATAGGGATAATGACTGTACTTCATAGATTTTGGGGGGGTGGGAGGGCTAAAGATAAGATGAATTTTTTTAAGTGCTTAGAACTGTGCCCAGGAACAGTAGGCTTTATGTGGGCATTAGTCATTATTATTGCTATTAGTGTTATTAAGCAATAGTTATGGAAGAAGGCATTGAGATGTAAGTAACAGCTGAGTCCAATGTAGGGCATTTTCCTAAAGTGCACTAGATTGGGGTGGCTGAGCCTACTGAAATGCTCCATTGAGCAGTATTGAAAAGGCAAGGTAATTGTTATGGGAAGAAGCATCTTCTCCAGGAGATGCTCTTTGATTCCCTTGAATAGGTCCATTCTGCACTTATCCATATCATTTTCTAGTAATACTGCATTTGCATAGTTTCCATTCCATTAGGGTCCATTTGCCTCATTATGGATTTAGAATCTCAGGAGGCATAGGGTGTATAATGGCAAAAAGAACAGGTGGCCAGCCTCAGCCTGAGTAGGAAGCAATGGCAGTACTGATCTAGACAGTGTTGGTTGAATGGCAGGAAGAGCTGTGGTCTGAGGCACATTGCAGGGTTTCCAGGAGGCTTTAGGACCTCAGGGAAGACCAAGACAATAGGTAGCTAGACACAGGTAAGTAGGCTTTTATTTATTTATTTATTTTTTGCACGTTTTTCCTCCCTACCTTGAAAAGAGAATGTCAACCACAGAAAGATAGCAATCTATACCAAGGAGAACTAGGACACTGAGGTGAGCACATGAGGTGAACTATTCCTTTTTCAAGTCACCTTATATCTTTTCATTGTTGTATTTCCTGTCTCTTCACATTGACTCAGTATTATTGATGCTTTGATATAGGTGATGTTTTCCAAGTGTGACTTATTTCTAAGCAAACTGATAAGAGAGGACAAGAAGCAGGTAGAGAAGAAAGAATTGAATAAAATACAGGAGTAAAGATACTAGCTGGAGAGACTGTATTTATGGAAGCATGGTGACCCTGTATGTGAAAGCTGTCAGTGGGTCTTCATGGTCTGGCTGGGACCTAGACACCAGAGCATGGCAAGTGCAACAGCCACAGGGGGTCCATCAACCATGTCTCCTACATACTCCTCAGTTTCACCATCTCTCAGACTCCTCACTAACACCTGTCAGCTTCAGTGACCTCACCTACTTATAAATTTACCAAAAATGAGTATTCCAAGTTAAGCTGCCATGTTCTTACAGAAAGGTAAGTGACATAAAGTGAATCTATTGCTGTCACCAACCTTCCAATATCATAATGGAATGTTTTTCTTCAAACAGTATCGTTCCTACTATGGAGCTGTCCAGGATGCCACTGAAGAATCGGACGATCTTCTAGCCTTGCGTTTCCTGTCTGTGATTTCAATTGTGGACCCATGGATTTTCATCATATTCAGAACTTCAGTATTTCGAATGTTTTTCCACAAGATTTTCATAAGACCTCTTATGTACAGAAACTGGCAGAGCCATTCCTATCAAACTAATGTGGAATCCAGTTTGTGATAGAGGCTTACAATCTCTGGTAAGTTGGAGAATATATCAGTTTCAGATAAAGATTTTTTTAAAAAAAGCAAAAATATATCAGTTTCAGACCCATGATTTAAAAAAAAAAAAGCAAAAAAACCCTTAAATCCTTAAAGATTTTTATCTCCCATAACAAAAGCATTGAAACATATTTTCAGAAGTATTTGATATAGTTTGAAAATATGTTGCCACTCTGTATTCAAGAACCATTTCAGTACATTTTTTTTTTCATTTTGTGTTATTAACAACAACTAAAATGTTGTATGTTTTAAGCAATGTTAATTGTCTTATAACAATGATATTAATTGTTCCAACATTTGTATCTGGTGCCCCTAATTTTTTTTTACAAGAAACCTATAGATCTTTATTTAAATATAGTAGAAACACCACTATTTAAAATTATGTGATAAATGTTCTTTAAAAAGCATATCAATGTCTTACCCTATTCATTTCCAGTGATCCCTGAATTATTTTATCTCGTTATTACCCCCTGTTTAGTTATTATCCTGGCCAATTTGTCTAGGCAAAGCTTGAATCATAGATGTTTCTCAATGTGGGAATATGACCAGGTTAGGCATTTGGAGGGGTCTTCCCGAGCCACCATTTAGGGGTACTTAGTGTTCAGGCGAAGATGCAAAGCTACAAGTAGATGGGAATAAATATCTGACTGTGGCCCACAACTCAGACAAGAAAATATTATCTTTTGAAATCTAGCCTTTTAGTATTGAGGCAGGGGTATCAGTAGGAATCAATATTTGAGAGTGGACACACTATGTTCTTTCACTTTTGGAAACTCCATTTAGAGGCTTATCATATTGATGGGTTCTTTGGGGGTAGGATTTACTATGCTTCTTGGACAAATACTGACGTGTGACTTACCAGAGAGCTGTGTTAACTGAGTTCGGCGGCGTGAAGTAACTGGGCATTTGCACAGAGGAACGGGGACTCAGCCAGCCTCAGTTGAAGCTAATGGCCATGGCCATAACACCTTCCTATAAAGACCACTTTCTGCTCTTATGGAGACAGCAAAATGTTACTGAGGCTCCTGTGGGCTGTGCTTTCACAACTGAAACAGGACACAGCTCAGAAGGAGCTCAATCAAGCACTTTAGTTGGACATTTAGAAGTTTACAAAGGTTAGCCAAACTGTGACCAGAACAGCAAAGTGGGGAACCACAGCTGTAGCTGAATCGGAGACTCAGCCCCACATGCAGCCCGCACTGTCACCTTGGGTAAAACAACTGGGGAGGGGGGGAGGCGACAACAACCAACTAGAGGGGATCCAGCATCTCTGGAGTTCCTTTGTACCCCTGCACACTTGGACTCTGAGGTGGAAAGCTGAGACCTCTAGCCAGCAATCCCTCCTGGGGACAAAAGTATTTACCTGGTTTCCAACTTCGCAGTAACTTCCTTTTTTTCACCTCTGGTTTTGCCCACATCTCAGAGACGGTATTAACCTTATAATATACGTTTTTGTTTTCGTTTTTTGTATAGCAAAACTGTGAAAAAAAACCAAATTAGGAATATCAGAAATATAATTTGAGAGTATGACATGATGAAGAAATTCAGTTGTTTTTCAAGTTTAGCTTTTGTTTGTGTGTTTAATGTGTATATGTGTGTGTGTGTGTGCATGTGTGTGTGTGTGTGTGTGTTCATATATTTTTTTTTTGGTCAGAGGAAGTACATCTTTTTGTCTTCTCCTTTTGAAAAATGTGTTATGATAATTGTTCAGAAAATTTGATAAGATCCTAAATAAATCAACAAACATAATTTTTAAATATTTTGCTCAAGTAATTACTTTTCTTAAAAGGGCTGTGATTTCTGTTTGTAGCAAACAGTTGCCAGCAATATTGCTATCTCTAGTAGTATAATAATGTGAATTTTTATATACTATCCTGTTATAATTTATATTACCATAACAAATTTTCATGGTTTATCCAAGGACTTGGTGCTCCTCATGGTTTCATATGAAATGTCCATATATCATCCTGATGAAATCCATGTCAAGTTAAATCCTACTCTGCAGTAATATTCATTGATTTATTCATTAGTTCATTAAGTTGACACAGATTTTGTGTCAAGCTACTGATTAGGTGCTGGGGAAAATAAGACTCAGTCCTGGCCGCCAACTGCTGGGTTGTACACTGCCGGGAGAAAGGATTGCAAATAATTGTAAGGCAGTGTAGAAATTCTTAGTAGTAGGTGCACACACACCAGACCAGGGGTGACACACAGGGCTGACAGGAGAACTTCACAGGGGAAAGACACTTCAGTCAAGCATTGAAAATGAGTAAAAAAATTGACTGACTCAAAATGAAAACTGGAAAGACACACAAAGAGTTTACAAGAGATATGAGGAAACATATATGATTAATAAATGCTAAAAAATATCCAGCCTAATCAAACAAATGCAAAAAACAAAGTCAGATTATCAAAGACCAAAGTCCAAAACAAAAATGTCTCATAAAAAGCAGAGGTTATTGAAAGATGGACATTCATATTCCAGTGCAAAATAGGAGCTTAAAGTGTTCCTTTATATTGTTCTAGTAATTCCACTCTAGAGTATTCTCCTAGAGGATAATCAGTGTTGCTGTCAGAATCATGTACAAACCTTTTCTTGGTAGCCTTATTTATAAAAGCAAAAGAATGAAGATAGCTTGAAAATGGGTAAAGTAAACAAATGTTCAGATATGTTTATTTTTATATAATATATATGCACAGAAACATGTGGCCATTAAAAAGTTTTTTCTCAAATACAACATTAAGAAGAGAGCTTACAATATAATAGTTACAAACATTAAGAAGACAGCTTACAATGTAGTACTAAGTGAAAAGGGCATGATACATCAATTTAAATTATAACTCATAAACATATATGCATAGAAATACCTTGAAAAAATTAAGCATGAGCAGAACAGGTGGTGCATGCCTGTTACCCCAAGTACTCAGGAGGCTGGGGTAGGAAGAGTGCAAGTTCAAGGCTACCCTAGGCAACTTAGCGAGAACGTGTCCCAAGAAATTTTTTAAATGTCCTAGGCATATAGCTAAGTGGTAGAGCACTTACCTAGCCTGTGGGAGGGCCTAGGTTCAATCCCTAGTGTTGGGGTTGGGTTTGAGGGTGGGGAGAAAGAGAGAGAGAAAGAAAAAAATCAAAATGTAAGTGGAGGGTTCTGGAGGGGAGCATGAAACATGGGTATTGTTTTAATGCACATTTACCCCCACAATTCTTTGTATTTTCTAAGATTTAAAACAATAAGTATTTCTCTCACATGAAATTCTTTTTTGTCGCATTCTTCACGACTAAAACATTCAAGGTCACTCCAGGGGGAATGGGCTACACAAAATAACCACACAGAGACAGACAAATACCTTTTTCTTTGGGGTCCTGTGAAAGCTCCTCTGACCTTAGGGGTCCATGGAAAGACAGAGAGCTAGTGAGTGCTGAACCCTTTTATTGGGAAAAATCCATTCAAATTTGAGGCAAGGGGTCAGGTTTCAGAGGGTTGAGTCCAGCTTAGTGATGTCTGCTGTCAGCAGATTGACTAACATCTAGAAAGGCCACATCCAAAGGCAGAGCAAGAGAAAGGGGAGACACAAAAGGCGTTTCCATGGAACATTCTATCCCAAACAGGGCACAGGAGTAATATCACAAAGGAACAGGTAAGCGTAGCTCAATCCATGGGGTGACATGCCTACATCTGAAGATGCATCCTCAACCTCCAAGACTGGGTCAATGTCCAGGTCACTACAAGATGTAGTGATGGTCAAAGCCTCTCCTCTCAGGGAAGGAGAATGCGAATCATTCAGAGTGGCCACCTCCCACACGTTTTCAAAAGAATGAATAGAATTGGCCTGAATAAACCAGGGGAAAGGTGGGAAGGAAGAGCTTTCAGGTCTAAGGAAAAGGCACACAGAAATAAAAGAAGGGCATTCCTGGGCTTAGAAGCTCTATTTGGCGGACATTTGGGATTTAGGACCAAAGGTGGCAAGAGAGTGGCTGAAAGAGTGGCAGGTTTCACATCATAAGAGGTGTCCATATGGCAGTGGAGGGCTGGAACTCTGTGAGACCCAGATAACTGCTGATGACTGAAGGCTTTGAAGGCAGGGTGGAGTTGGGGGAAGATCAGACTGGTGCTCTGGCTTGCAGACAAGGCAGCTGGGGGTGATCCTACAGACCCCAGGGCACTTGTGAGTCCCTGCACTGGACCAGGGCTCTGGGCTAAGGAAGAAAATGAACTGAAGTACAACCTATCCCTCCCTGCTTGCCCTTTTGTGGGCTCCACCAACTAAGAAGAGGGGGCCTCTTTTTGATCATGTTTGCACTTGAAGACGGACACAAAGACTTCATATGTGCAGGCCCTAGGGATTCCCAGCTGCAGGGGAAAGAAAGAGGCTAGGAGGAGCTGGATTCAAACACAAATTGCACACAGTGTATAGTAGGTACAGCTGACACGATCCCTCCTCAGGACTCAGTCATGGCTTTAGTTCTTTCAGTTGCATGTACTTGACCATTTTCTGCTTCTTGGTTTTAATGTAATCAGGAACAAGTTAGGAAAGGAAAGAACTTCTGAAAACACAGCATGTTTGTCTGCCTGTTCCCTTGCCCACCCCCTTTCCCAGTTTATCTGGACAATATATTACAGCTACTGATTCACATGAAGTCTCTAGGTTATCTGTGAACTAATTATATGCTACCCAGCCAGGTTAGGAAAGAGTCAGTTGTTAGGACTGGTTAGTCCCCAAAATCTCTCAAAGGCTAACTTTGAAAGGTATTCCTGAAGCTTTAAAAGAGAGGGGAAAATCCCAAAAACACAAAGCACTTGGATGACCCTAGACACTCACTAGCCACACAGCCTTCTCCATCTGCTTATTGACTGAGGTGCTTCATGCTTCAGGTCAGTGCTTCTCAAAGCATGGGCCCTGACAAGCAGCAGCAGCATCACCTGGAATGCATTAGAAAGGGAAATTCCTGGGCCCTACCTTGGACCTATTGAATCAGCATCCCTGGGGGTGGGACCTCTTGTAATTTCTTTTTGGAGTACAAGATGGCTGGTGTGGGTGTTCTTCCAGGTGGAGCAAAGCTGAGCTCACAGTAAGTGGGATACTGTAATTAGGGCTCCCTTTTCCTGTCCTTGCACAGTTGCCTAATTCAGTGGAAAGAATCAGCTGGCCTCACCCACTATGGGCAAGGTCAACATTCCAATCTTCCAGATAATTAAAAAAACCTGCATGAACTCAGGAGTCAGTCTAGTCTGGACAACATCTGCAGTGAAGTTGTTTAGCACCTATTATGTTCTAGCTACTGAGTGTGTGAAATCAAAAACGGGAAAATGAAGAGATGAATTTGGTTTATTATTATTGCTGTTGTTACTTAAATGCTAAGACCAGAGTCAAGTAAAATCTGATAAGTGTATTTTAAGTCAAGCTTGCAGGGTCTTAGGATGATCTACACTCCTAGAAAAAATATGGAATCTAATTGGAAATACAGGATGAATGAAGTTAAAGATCATACAGTCTTTTGCAAATGTTACCAAGTTTTGGAGGATGGAGCATAGATTTTAAACCAGCAAAGTCCCAAATCAGAGATAATTGATGTTTAAGATTAGTCTAGCAATGCATTGTATAAACACCTGGGCAAACAATGAAGTTGGTACCTTGCCAATGCCAGCTTCTTATCAGCACAAAATAGGATGAGGAAACAATAAACATCACACAACATAATGAATTAGAAGACTTCTTTCATTCCCACAAATCTAAACCACCCAGAGTTCTCAATTAGGTTTTAAAAATGCATTTTATAAACGAGTATGATTGACACATCCAAAATAAAATGACTCCCCCCAAAAGAGATAAAGATAATAATGAATCCAAAATCTATCCTTCAAACATAAAGTAATACTAGACAAAGTAGAATTTAAGCCAGAGAATTTTAAATAGTTAAAAAATCAGTACGTAATTATATTGTGAAACATGCATAACCATATTTATAGCAATCCAATTCACAATAGCCAAGTTATAGAACCAGCCTAGGTGTCCATCAACAGATGGAGTGATAAAGAAAATGTGGTACATATACACAGTGAGGTTTTATTCAGCCATAAAGAGGAATGAAATTATGTCATTTGCAAGAAAACGAATGGAACTAGAAAGTATCATGTTGAGCAAAACAAGCCAGACTCAGAAAGCCAAGGGTAGTATGTTCTCTCTCATAAGTGGAAACTGGAGAGAAGAATATTTCAAAAAGGAGTTAAGAAAATAGGAGGGAGACCAGTAGAGTTGAGGAAGGGAATCAGAAAAAGGGAGAGGGGAGGGGAAGAAAAAATACTAAGGAATGAAATGGATTAAGTTATGTTATGTGCTTATACAAATATGCCACAATCCCACTATTATTTAAAATCATGATGCACCACTGGAAAAAATATACAATCAGTAGTGAATACAACATTGAGTTGTTTGACCAAATAGTGTGGCAATAAAAGTATAAAGGAAAAAGCATTAGAACATGAGAAATAAAATATCACTATTGTCATGGATTATTTCATGTATCAATCAAGATAGATCAAATAGACAAAAAGATATTAATTTAAATAGATTTATGTATTTGTTGTCACATTACTCAATCAGATGGATTTTTATCAGATAGATAGGTTATGTTTATATGTTTAGGACAGACTGTTTTAAAACATAGACTATGGTATATAATTCACCTACAATTCACTTTGGGGACCCTGGAGGCACTCCAAGAAAGACGTGGATGGAGTGGTTCTTCA